GGGCCGGGGCCGCCCCTGGATGTGATTTCAGTTGTGTTTTTTTTTGTTTTTTTTAAGAGCAAGAGATGGCGATTCGCGTATATATGTACAGGTAGGTCATTCCATAATTTTGGAGCAACAACAGCAAGACTCTTTCACCATACGTTTTCAGTCTGCAAGGAGGTACAAACAGAATTGACGAGCTTGACGATATGTACAGTGTAAAGAGATGGGAAGCGGGGCTGATGGGGGAGCATGAATATGTCACGTGGGGAGGGGCTCGATGATTAATTCAGAAGGGAGTTAGCTTGCAAAAATATGTAGTTTTAGGTGATTTTTAACCACTTATTTTGGGTCAACTTGGGAACGAGAATATTTTTTGAGGGGCGTGCCCCCCACCCCCACCCCGTAGATACACCACTAAAAATTGTATTAATTATATTCAGGTACTTGCTCATTCGAGGTCTGCACGACAGACAGGACGTTCTGAATGCACGGTCAAGAGTGTTGCAACACATCCATGATAGTGGGGAGGACAAACTCAATAATGCATACCCATTGCAAGAGGGTGTACTCAACCATCGATGTCGGGCTGGATGCGTGCCATTCATGGAGGTAAGTTGCAACACGGTGCAAGTATTCGACTGTGACACTGGGTGGTGGGGGGGGGGTGTAACGCATGACCGCTGAATATGCATATACTTAATAAAAGAAAAATAAGAGACAAATTATAGTAGAATGCATGAGCTGTATCAGCAACAGATATGTGCCTTTCCAATCCAAAAATATTTCCTAACATTTTCTAATCTCACTATAACATCATAATCCCTAGTGAGAATACCTTGCTTATAAACAGATTCTCCAGAACGCCTCAAATGTTATTTTCGGGTGTCTGGAACACAACAGTTTCGCGGGGGCATTCCCCCTGGACAGTTGTCTTTATCGGCCCAACTTTCAGCCCTTTCGCCACTCCCACCCCTCTGGACATCTCTGGATCCGCCTCTGAATCCGCCCCTGTACTTAATTGTAAGAAATTTAAAATGAGGTGGACGACGCGTGATTCTTATTCAATTTTTCGTATAGGCCTATTGTAGATTACCAAACCGATATTGAAATAGGCCTAACTCTACAGGTATACATTTAAAGTGCCATGACATATCGTCCAATAATATTATACTATTTATAGTTAATTGTTAGATGATGCATGGTATTATTACAGGAATTTTCAATATCTCTTTTTAAATTAGGGTGCAAATAGTTTAACTCAGTGCGAATCTGTAAAGAGAGTTCTTGAAGGCAAAAGAGGTTAGTCAATATTTTGTTACTTTTTTGGCTGCGGGAAAGTTTCCCATGTGTATCTTTATTTATATTATAAAATACAAAATTAGGGCACGAATATCTGGCACAGACGCACTATTACAACAGGTTGTTTAGCTTTAATCAACTTAAGTCAATTCATTTTTTTTGTTGATTCCTCTCTCTACAGCTTTTGATTTTTTCCGAACTTTATTTGAAGAGGAGCCAAGAACATTTGATTACAAATGGTTAAGGTAAGGATCAATGGGCCTTTCCGCTAAGCCCCGCCCCTTGGATATTGTTGCTAAGGTCCCACAAGGCGACAGTGTTAAAACATACGCGAACACGTGCGTTTGTGGGACAACACGTGTGTTTGTGAGACGCGCGCGTATTCCTAGCGCTGTTCTGATTAGTCAGTTGTTAAGTTTGATTGACACTCCGGAAAGGTCTATTCAGATAGACATTACCGGTATTTATCAGAAACGCTGAAACACAACAACATTACAGTAATGATTCTGGGCCAGGGAACCCAAAAAGTGGACTTAATTATTCATAAAAGCGGTTCTCATTATTTTAACAGGAACCGCTACCCTGACATCACAAAATAAATTTTCGACAACCAATAGGCCTAAATCTTTATAAAGTAAGTGCAGGAAGCCTCGTCTATTATCCATCTTAATTAAGAAACAAGCCATTCTACAATCAGGGAATTAATTACAAATAGAGAATAAAAAACAATTTGCAAATGCAAAATTACGAACAAACATGATACGAGGCCTAAACACGGCTCTTGATTATCTGACAATAGAGCAATGCACATGGAAGGTTTTACTGGGGTGCACGTGGACAATGTATATATGGGAAGAGGAACGGACAAACTATTAACAATGTGGACGCCGTTTGATGACGTCATTATAGAGAAGGGGACGTTAGCCGTCTGTCAGTCGTCACATCGGCTGCCATCGTGAGTAATCAGTATCAAGCTCTGTCCTCAATATCAAATTTTTGTTGACAAAAAGATTGTTGTTATCACACCGACGATCATGATTATTATTATTATTATTATTATTATTATTATTATTATTAATTATTATTATTATTATTATTATTGATTATTATCATCATAATCATCATGATTATTATTCACGGAAGCATGTCGAAATACGAAATACGAACATAAACATTACAGTAGAAGTCAAATCAAAATTGAAGTTTAACAAAAGTGGGGAAAACATTTTAAAAACATTACATACAAGACACAAACATATAAAAAAAAAGATAGAATTAAATTAATATTATTTCTACTATTAAAATTAATATTACATTTTATTTACAATTAAATTAATCAATTGTTGCAACAGGGAAAAACATTCAATAAAACAACTCGGACAGACGCTCAAAACCAACTAAAAACATTCACGAAAAATTGTAAGAATTACACATCTGAAAAACCTCGTCAGAGAGGAGGGCCCGGGTGTATAGGGACGATTTACCAGTTAATGAATCATCAGCATTTGTTATGAAATTCTTTGAGCGCTCTGTTTTATTCTAGGGAGAATGTCAGTGATTGATCTATGAAATTGAACTTTACAGATTCCGTCACTTTCAAGAAACGTATGGGAGTTTTGACGTAGAAGCTGGGGGACTTGAAGGAACAGGTTGGTTCACGAACGACCCTCTAGAAATAACTCGTCAGTTCGGGGGTCAATGGAGGACTGCCGACTTCCAAGCAGGAGATGCGCTTATATTTACAGTGAGGTAATACTACATGATGGACGGTGAGTAGGGGAAGTATGGAAACATGCCTTTCCCTTCCCTTATTCCTCCTCTGAACAAATTACATTAATCAATTTTCTGGTCAGTCATCATCGAAACCGATGTACAGCCGACGATTCTGTTCTGACGATTCAAGATCCCGGGGTAAATCCTATAGTGAGGGCCTACAGTCGCGTATCTAGCAGTTTTGAAATGGGGAGGAGTGATGGTGCGCGGAAGTGGGGGTGAGTCTCGATGATTAAGTGAGGGGGCGCTGCTCGCAAAATAAAAGTGATGCGACTTTTATTTACTTGATCGAGATTTTTTTTCCTTCGGGACTGAGGGACACGAATTTTCCGGGGGAGTGCGCCCCTCCCCCGCGCACCTTTCGAAGCCACGGGGGGGGGGGGCAAGCAGGAGAGATTATATTTTTAGATGGACGGTAAAAACAAGATTTGGAACTTCCGTGGTTGAATGAGCAAATTATTTCCGTATTGTCTGATGATCTGAAGAGTGGCATCAGACGACAGGGGTGCATGCTTGTCGATGGGGAATATTTCTCCTCCCCACGGTCTCTGCTGACAGCGCCACTGGTGTAAACCAAACATTACAGACGGTACTGCATTTTGCGCCGAAAGAGCGTTCGCCCTCCAATTCGAGACCACCATTCTTTTGGACATGAAAATTTGGGGTGGTTTTGGTCCTCAATTTTTCATTTTCATTTCATTTATTTATTCGACCAAGAACACAAAAGAAAAGCAAGACAACGAGAAACAACACGATGGTCAGGGACAGCTAAAGCAAATTAATTACTGTAACTCAAAAGAGTCGGCTGCCCCTTAAATATATAGAAACATTTATATTGCACACAATAAAACATATAAAAATATATAAATATAAAAATCCCAAGCCAAAAATCATTCAAAATTGCAAATTAGGAAATTCAAAAGGATTACAAAAAAAGGCAATAAGATTAATTATTAAATATTGAATGGTTTGTTTTGTGAAAAAGATTTGCGATTGTTATTTGCTTCTAGAAAAAGGTGTGTCCAATCAGAGAGATCTTGAATTGTAGGTTGCACTGAATTAACAATTCACTTCTGATCGATTCACCCATGTAATAATATTATGCATCGATAGTTTTAACGCGCCCAGTTGCACTCCAGACTAATTATTTCAGCTGTCAGTCACCCGTAAGAAAAACACGCAGCCACTCAACTGTTTTGAATGAAATTGATTGAAAACACGGGTTTTACAATAGCGTTGATTTGATAAAATTTTGACATTTTCAACGTTTGCAAGTAAACGCAAAAATTAACTAGCTTGGTTAAATTTCTGCCTATAAAATTTATCAGAACATTATTTAAAAGTTGATCGAACCGAGTAGAAATACTGTAATTTGTAATACTGTATTTAACAAACATCTAGTTTATTAGAACAAATTAATTTTAATGCTGACTTTTATTTTCAGGACTGTTCACATGTCGACAGTAAACACGACACACTTCGCACGCATAAGTTGCGACACAAGGTAGCTAGCTTGTAATTTACATACAGCGTAATGATAAGATATTAGATAAGCTAAATTAGCAGACATCAAAGTCGTATGACGCGATTTATCGTAGCTCGATCCTTCAAAAAAAAAGGTTTCTTTACATAATGACAGATATTTTTCTCTGTGTAGGTGGCTTCCTAGCTCTCATCAACCCGACCCGAGGTATGTAGGAAAGATATCTCAGCCTGCTCCAAAGTTTGGTGTGCACGGAGAAGGGGCTGGTCATAAAAGCAATGGAGTAACGATGGGTGAATTGAAAAGAAAATGGGGATTTCCTGAGTTGTAAATTCTCCACTATTTAGATTCAGTCGAGCTATTTAATCAAGTCCAAATATGTTATTCAAAAAAACTATGAACAACTTGCTAAACAACTTACGCTTAAGACGATTGGTCGTTTCCGCCTGGGATTTAATATACCAACAGTTTAGTCTTTACATAAAATAGGTAGTCTCTTTAAGGCCAACTCAGACAGCGTCGGCCGACGCAGCCCGACCCGATTTATCGTCGGGAACAGTCTTAAGCCGTCGTGAGAAATATTACACACGTTTAATATTCTACTACGCGACTGCCCCCGACGCACACCATCGCGTCTGCGTTCAACTCACACAGACCCGACGCGACAACAAATTGCGTCGGCCGACGCTGTCTGAGTTGGCCTTTACATATTATTTAAAGTTCATTTTCAGTTATCCTCAGTAGGCCTCTGCATCTTTATTTAGGAGACTACGGTTTCAGTCCTTGGCTGCTTGTATGTCATTCATCGTCTTTTACTTATTGAATAAAGTATACCTGAATATATATAAAAAAAAGTTTGTGTACTAAAATAACATCTTTGTATAATAAATCAACAAAAGTGTCCTATGAAGAGAGAATTATAAGTGTTATTTGCTTTAATGCCCTTTTCATAAATTTCAAGTAGGCCTATGTAATTCACATAATATAGTTGAACAGCATAGGTATAAATAAATAAGTGAAATACCATTGCAAGCAATTATTTTTATCATGTAAGTTGTATGGCACTGAGGTTAAGACTTTGAACCTTCAATCGTGAGTTGGAAATATCTTGTCACTGAAAATTTGATAGTGTAAACAGATTATTAGTCGTTATTATACTTGTAGGCTTTTACAATATGCAACTATTAGGTTATTCACGGATCATAATAAGAATCAAGGATATTTTTATGGCCCACAACTTTGCATAATAGTGAATTCATCAAACATAATCAACATTATCAAACTAGTGTTGTCCGAAAGCTCAGGTTCTATTTCTGGCTGTTTACTTTTTAACTGTTGCTTATCAAATTGTATTTCTACAGAGCTCCAGCCATTGTTTCCCACAGCACTGTTGAGACATATATATATATATAGTTTAATGTAAAGGAATATAAATTTATTACATATGGACTATATACAGTATTATATTTTATAATATACTTTTTGAGACACTTCACTACAATAAAAGTGTTCTTAAAGCAGATTTTGTGTTTCAGCCTTACTGTTATTGTTAAGCAATGTCAGTTTTACCAAAACAGCCCTGAAAAAATCTCTTTCAGTTGACTAACCCATGCTGCATGCTCAGTAAGTTTAAATAAGTGGCATGTGTCCAGGAACATCGACCAGGATATACTTACATAGCAGAAAAATTCAGTGCAAATAAAGCATGCAAATACCGCACACATACAAAAACTTTTTACAGAAATGTATCAACAATTAGACTCCCATTTGACCCTAATTTGACCCAGCAAGAAGATCATGGGAGATTTATACTGATTTAGGATGTTAAAAATTGCGCTTTGTTAGACCACACTCTGATGATCTCAATAACACTGATTGGTCCAACTAAAACTCATATCTTTAATCCAAGTGATCTCCACCGACAATGGAGCTTATGCTTGCTAATGCCGACGGGGAGGGGGAACTACGAATCCTAACTCCCCTCCCCTGACACCCGACTGCCACGGATTTCACTCAATTGAATAGAGTATGTTGAGCATGTCGAGTCTGCTATAACCTTTGAATGTGTGTAGCCAATATAGAAGATATAATATTATTTTAAAAAGTGGTATGTACATTATAGTATAAACCTCTTTATTATCTGTCTTTCATATTATTAACCTGCAAGATAACTATATACAATAAAAATATCCTATATTTTGATCTTTTGTTGGAATTTTTTGCATAATTTCATTTTAAAATATGCTCATTACATTCAACTTCATAATTTTTCTTCAATATTTTAAAAATGTATCATTCATCTTTTGATTTTCTTCTCTTTCGCTTCTTCTGTCCAATCATAGTCTTCCATATACTCGCGTTTGCACGGTCCGCTTTAGTGACTCGGCTGAAATCTAGTGATCGGAGATTTGGAAGTTTGGCAAGAATTAACTGCCTGTACCCTGGCTCATTTTCTAGTGGGTTACCATGGAGGGTTAGTGTGATAAGGTTTGGGAATGCTGCGAGCTTGTCCACCTGGTTGTGATCACTAATACCATTTCCATGGAGGTATAACATCTTTAAGTTTTTAAACATAAGGATGACCTACAAAATAAAGAAAGTAATTTTATTAAGTTATATATAATATATTAAATGTACACATAATAAGCTTTTTCCATAATATATTGCTATGTTACAAATAATTGTGATTTGCCCAAATATGGGTATACAGTAGAACCTCGATTTTACGTACGGTACGGGACTGGAGGGCGTACGTAAATCGGGGGATTCGTAAAATAGAGGTTAGGTTAAATTTGTGGTAACCTCTGACCTAATACGTACATAACGCTCAATATACGTATGTATGAACGAACGATGTTACCTAGCTAGGCTAGACCTATCCCCTAGGCCTACAAATAAAACAATGTGTTTAGTGTACGATGTCATAATAAAGTGTTCAAATAAAACCATGTGTCTAGTGTATTAATTCATCACTTTATGTCTCTTTAATATTTAACTAAAGAACATGAAAATATTGTAAGATTACCTATACGTCAAAGGTATAACTTGGGAATTCCCCTTCATGCCTATTCTAAACAACAGAGCTGTGGTGTTGTCTGGGCCTGTGAGACAAACTAAACCCATGTGCACTGGGCGAGCCAACCAATTAGCATTCGTGTACGTGAAACAGCGAAACCATGTGCATTGCACTGGGCGAGCCAACCAATTTGCGTTCGTGTACGAAATTATGCCTGAAAATTAGACAAGACAAGTTTTTCCATGGTTTGCCACACGAAGCTAGGGAGGAAAGCAATTATTTTGAGCACCATTGGTAGTTGTTCATCTCACTCAGTTCACATGGTTTTAGATTATAACAACCTGGTATTAGACTCAATCAACGTTGCTGTTTAATGAAAATACATTGCATTTTATGGTTTGTTTATTGTAATAGTTTATTGTTATAGTCTTTTTACTTATGGTTGCTCTGAAAAGGGCCGTTTGTTTTGAATATTTTCGGGGTTTTTGATGACGTCATCGTCGATACGAGGCGTACATAAAACTGAGGGTTCGTATAACTGGGGTACGTAAAAACGAGGTTCTACTGTACTATATTATCATCATGCCCATATATAGGTACATAATGCCTGTACTATGTTTTAACAGTGCAATAGTTTAAAGTGTGATCATACAGTGTGTTTTCCTATGGATTTTGTCTATTCAAAGTACAGGTATATCTTTCTTAAAGCCTCATATTTGATGGGGTGATTTGGCCTAAAAAATATTGCCTGAGCAACCCCAAATCCTGAAGAAGACAATTGTATTATTATTAATAATATATTTTTAAAATT